TATCGCCTGCTTGTTTTGAATGGCTGCATCTGTAAGTCTCTCTAGTGAAGTCAGACAGGCCATATACTGTATAAAGGGACCACCACAGCTGTAGCTCGCAAAACCCTCAATTCATAACAGTTATGTCAGACTGGCTGACAGCCTAGAGCTCATTGTAAAAACACTCAAGGACTCAATGAACACACAGCCTTCTAAATAATTAAAATTGTAAAATAAAAAGTATATTTATAAGTAATAAAAAATAAGTAAAGAAAACTTGTATTTGGCTACCTGTGAATAATATATTGCATGCAATGAATTGCATTTTGTCAAATACTTATCTCTGCCATGGAATGTCTTACTAGAATTGCCTTGTCTTATTGCTCAACAGTAACCTCTAGATGCTCACAGCAACATTAAGGAGGGACAAACTCACCCTCAGATTGGCATCAGTTTTCTTGTAGTGCTTATTACAAGACATGATGTATGGATCTGACAGGCAGGTGCCAGATTATAGAGAGTACATGCAAACCGAGTTGAGTAACAGACAATTAAATTGAATATGACTGGGCATAAAACAGCAACTGGCTATTCAATTTAAATAATAAATGATCGTTCTTTAAAAGATTGATACCCAAGTACAAGTATACATTTTTAGGGTTTGAATAACAATAAATGTTGTTTAAGGCATTCATTTGTAGAAACTACAGTGTATTTAATGGAAACCTCTAGTATCACAGAAGATACAGTATTCAATTCAATTAAATGTATTTTTATATTGCACCTTTAACAACAAAGTTGCCCCAAGGCGCTTAACAAAACAAGTGTCCATACATGTTGTAAATACAAAGTGGAAAAGGCCAGAAGACAATGGAGGAGAGAAACCTAAAACTCATTAGTAAGGGGAAAAAAAAAACTCTAGGGTACCAAGGTCAACTGGCTGCCCAACTCCCTTGGGCATGCTAACATTATACACTTAAAGGAAAAAAATAATAAAGGTATTTAGTCCATCCATCACGTCTTCTGTATGTCAGTAGTCCATGCAGATCTCTGTACACCAGTGGTTCTCAAACTTCTTGGACCAAGTACCACCCCTGATCAAACCAAAGCATCCAAGTACCACCTACAAGTCATCTTCTCGTAGGAACCACAAAAAGTCTCAATGACCAACATCAGCGCACACACATATACATATAATAAAGTTAGCACTAAGCACTTACCATTTCAGCGAGGGGGGTGAGCCTGTTTAATCGAGCAAAGCAGATATGAATTCATTGGTCGAGCCTTGATACAATTCACAACTTTGACAACATAGTCTAACAGATTTTAAATCCTCAGGCATTTTCTTAATTGCCAAGGCCTCGCGGTGGATGCTGCAATGTGTCCACTCCATATCTGGAGCAACCTCTCTAATTTGTGCAACTACACCTCTGTGTCTGCCTGTTATCACTCTAGCACCGTCTTTACAAACTCTGACACGTTTTTTCCAGTCAATGCCATTCTCTTCGATGAATTCATTCAGAAGCTGAAATATATGTTCTCCTGTAGTTTTTGTTGGTAGCGGCTTACGAAACAAAGTCCTCATGGGACATGCCCTCAAACTCATATCTAATGTAACCAAGCAAATTGGCCAAATCGACGGCATCTACAGACTCATCTAATTGCAGTGAAAAGTATCGGTTCAGGGAGTGTCCCAGGAGGTGAAATCCTGGAAAAACCTATGAAAAGGGAGCAGCTACACAAGCTACTGTGACTTAATGTCCGTGTCCCAAGGACTGATTCCTTAGGGCTTAAATGGGGATTGAGGTTTCCCTAATCACATAACAAGCCCAGCCTGATCTTTATTTGCGATGGCCCTGATGAGCTCCTTCCACATGA